GAAAATGCCATAAACTGAATGGCCCACAACAACAGGAATTTATTTCTCACAGCTCTGGGGCCTGGGAAGTCCAATGTCAAGTTACCAGCAGACTTGGTGTCTGGTAAGGGCCCGCTTCCTGGTTCATAGATGGTAGCCTTTTCACTGTAACCTCACATTGCAAAATGACATGGGGTTTCTCTCAGGCCTGTTTTATAAGGGCAAGCTAATCCCGTTTACAAGAGCTGTACTTCCATGATTTAGTCACTTTCCAAAGGCCCTATCTCCTAACACCATCACATTTGGGGTTAGGATTTCAACATATAAACTTCAGAGGAACAAAAATATTCAAACGACATTTAATGTTCCAGATCAGTTCTTACAAGCACTTCAGTTTCAGATATAACAATAATATTTCAAAGCCCAATTAGGCTACTAGGCATTAGATTTACATTCTTTCTAGCCCTAGGGAAGACCTCTAATTTGCAATCCTTATTTCATTTTTGAAAGTATATTTTGCAAAAGATAGCAGGGCATAATGTTAGAATAAACAAAGTTTAAATTGAATGAATTTAGATTTGGGTAAAAAATGTATTTTCCTTATTTTTTTTTTTCATTTTGATATGTACCAGTGGAAACTGTCAGGAAAATCCTTGGACAGGGAATCTCCATGGCTGTCTCTCTATACAGACAGTTTCTGTAACAGGGATAATTGATACTTGGAGAGTTCCTACTATGAACCAAGTGGTATAACTTTGTGTGTGCATATGAGACAGGTACTAGTATGCCATTCTACAGACAGCAAAACTAAGACAAAGGAATTTTGGAATTTTCTCAAGGACTCACAGTTAATAAATGGTGAAAGTGATATTTGAGCCCAGTTATTCAAGGTCCAGTGTTCTTGATTGCTAACCACACACACTGCTGCTACTGCTTTAGACTCTGTGGTATGAGTATGATTCTGTGCACAAAATCAACACACCAATAGGTACAATGATAACAGCAGCTTTGCCATAATATAGCACATCTATTGAACAGACTAATGGCCAGATATATGTCATTCCAAGAAGACTATTTCTATAAAGAGTATTTATAAATTGTAAAGTGCTATACAGATGAAAAACCAACTGTAGTTATTATAATCGACAATGCTAACTGGAATTCCATAAGTCAAGTTTGCCTAAGACCATCACAGCAGACTTACTAAATAAAACACTACCCATATCATTTCTAAGGGAGTCCCATATATGAAACTATTTTAAGCCAGCAATATTAACTTATCTTTAAGAGAGTTTTGTAGAAATCAGAGTGATTGAAAATTAACTCAATTCACTGCTTGCAATATTTCACTGTCTTACTCCTGCCTCTAAGATTATAGGGACTTCCCTAAACAAAGTGGTAGAAACTTGTTTTTTTTCTTTGAGGGAAACTTGTCACATCCCTGCTACCAGAAATTTGACTCTTTTCATCATTGCCTCTCTCCGCCCTAGAATCTTTTAGCCAGCTGCTACACTAGAAAGCATCTAACTGACAAATCCACATTTTTGTGCTTTGTTTTTCCAGAGCACGTTACTAACATACCAAGCCATAAGCAACAAGGGTACATATTTAGTGGGAATATTTCAGATACACTAAATAAGCCCACTGTAGAGATACTTGGAGCAAAGAATATCACACTGGTGGCCCTTAATTTAGCTGACAAACATTTTTTCCAACTCATAAGGCCAATCATAAATGGTAATGAATCATCCCAACAGCACAATCTCTCTCAGTATCTTCGATATCCATCAGTTCTGTGTCATCACAGTAATTCACCACAGTGAGTTCCACTACAAAGTGCACTGCTGTCCACTCAAATTTTATAAGTACCCCTCTCCCGACAATATGACTTTTCTTCAGTTCACTTTTATGGCTTCTTCTGTTCTTCTGTATCAACCACATAAAACAAGAATAGAAGCAAGTCACTTCATATTAAAGAGTAATGCCCTCTACCATGTTCTTGACTATCTACAAGTCAAGAACTGATGGTTCTAGATTTATGCTCTCAATAATTTCATGAGTACCGTTGGTCAATTCCAGAAAGAATTTGGAACCACGATTTTACTTTCTCTGTAATAAGGGAGAAAACAAAATTATCTCTGATGTACCCAACGCCTGTAGAATTCTATGGTTCTGTAATATTAAGTATTATTCAAGTAAAGATGAAAGCATAAAGACAGAGAAACATAATACATTCTTTAAGGGATAAAAGCCACATGTACCTAGACAAATTCCCTTTTAAAATAGTTAATAAACTAGAAGACATTGAGAATGCCTTAAAATTCCTAATATAACTCATGGAGAAGTATGGAGGAGTTGTAACGTGACTGGATCAGAATACATCTGCTTCAACAACCAGATTAAAAAAACACATGGTTAGGTAATTTGTATTTATCCAGAGCAGTGTTTTCCAAATTACATTCCAAAGAACGTTATTAATTGTATAAAATAAATCATAAGGATTGCATTTAAATGGTGACTGAGCCCTTGAGGGTTATCTGCACTTAGTGGCTCATTTCCATAAAATAGAGCATAGAAAGGGAGAAATAATAATTTTACAGTGTATAAAACCTGAATAACGTGAATTATCCAGGGGATAGAAGTTGACGTTACCAGAGACAGGTCACACTGACATCAGGTACCTATCTCCCAAATGTGATGTGATGAAACAGGCTCTCCACCTCTGTGATATTTTTTTCCAAAAGCCCATAACCCCAGTCTAATCTTGAGAAGTTACATCAAGCATACCTTTTGAAGGATATTCTACAAAATTCCTGATCATTACTCCTCATAACTGGAAAGATTATGAAAAATAAGAAAAAAACTGAGAAACACTCACAAACCAAACATAATGAAATGTAGTATGATGTCTTGAAATAGATCTTGAAACAGAAAAAATACATTAATGGAAAACTGTAGTATAAAGTCTGGAATTTAGTTAATGGTAACATACCACTAGTGTTTTCTCATATTTGACAAATGTATCATGATAATGTGATATGATAAGATTAGAGGAAACTGAAACTGGCTGAGGCAATATGGGAACCTCTCTGTATTACCTCCATAACTGTTCTGTACATCTAAAATTATTCCAAATAAACAGCTTATTGATATAACTGATGAGAATATTCATCGGCAAATTTGTTTAGTGAACTTTGGATGAAACAACTGATCTTTCTCAGTGTCTATAATTATCATAGCTTCTGGAATATCCAATAAGCATTGTGACTGTAACAGAGAGAATATACGATGCTGTGTTTCCCAAACATATTTGACGAGAAATCTTTATTTTTCTTCAAATAGCATAATTTAGAAAAAGTACTGACACAGAGAAGTTTTCTCCCGATGTGTCAGATTTCTGTCCTATAGTAGACCATGATCAAATTTTAATCAGTGACTGACTGAAGAGAGAAAGACGCTATGAACACTGAATTGGCAGAAGACGTGAAACTAGAGGCCAATGTGATGGATGAGAGAATGATCATTAAAATTATATTTAACAGACTACATCAATAGACCAAACTTAACAAGGTAACTATGAAAGGATACATATACAGCCTTCCTAGGCTAAGCAAATTAAAAAAAAAAAAACCAACTGAGTAAGTAGGAGAAGCAAGAATTTAAATGCCCGTCATGTTACTGTTACAGGAGTTCTTAGGTCAAATTAGAATTGTCATTCTCAGTAAAGATGCCCTAATAGTAGTAGTAAGACCATTTCTGCAGATTGTTTGCTTGTTATTTTTTGTTTGTGTGCATTTTAGTTCTTTGTGCTATACTGTAAATGGTCCTCAATGAACCGTTTCCAGTGGAGAGGGAATAGGATGACGTGTGTCTTGGAAACCATGCCATAGAAAGAAATGTCGAAGAAACCGGGAACGTTGCCCTGGTGCACAGAAACCTTTGCCAGAGTCCAGGCACAGTGGCTCACACCTGTAATCCCAGCATTTTGGGAAGCCGAGGCAGGTGGATCACCTGAGGGTCAGGAGTTAGAGACCAGCCTGGCCAACGTGGTAAAACCCCGTCTCTACTAAAAAGACAAAAAAGTAGCCAGGCGTGGTGGCAGGCGTCTGTAATCCCAGATACTCAGGAGGCTGATGCAGGAGAATCACTTGAACCCCAGAGACGAAGGTTGCAGTGAGCCAAGATGGCGCTATTGCACTCCAGCCTGGCCAACAAGGGTGAAACTCCATCTCAAAAAAAAAAAAAATAAAAATAGAAAAAAAAAAAAACCTTTGACAGATCCTTAAGTACACAAGACTACAGGAGAATCAAGCCTATTCTATATAACTTCAGAAGTCTGAAGAAGGACTTAAGGGCAAGAAGCCACACATTTTGGTTCAAAAATACTTTTGTAACCATTAAACACCCTCATAATGGAATGGATATTCTTGAAATGAAGAGAGCTCCCTGACTCTGGGGCTGTCTAAATAGAAGCTGGACATCCCTCAGTCCAGACTGCTGCTAGAATGTCTTCTATGTGCACCTAATAAATGAGTTCTACACAGCCTTCCAGTGCTAAGGTCTCAGAATCTATCCAACCACAGGGAAGGAAAAAAATGAAGAGGCACTGAGAGAAGTCACAAACCAGTTAAAACAGCCCCTAAAGTACCTGAGGTACCACTCTACCTCTCTTCTAACCATCACCCCTAGAGTGTGCACCGAAGAGATTTCTGATTAGTATAATTTAGGTCACACTAGAGGACAGGGAAGTGATGAGTTTATCTTGACAAAGTATTGTATTCACTCCAAAAGAAATCTGCCGAAATAAATAAACTCACAAACATATAAATAAGTAAATTCGTTTTTCTTTAAATCCACTATTTTTTTCTCTTAGAGAAATAAATGGCTTATATAAAGGACAATGTGTATATGGTATATATGTTTAAGGCCTGCTTCAAGGTTGCTCTCAAGCTGAGCCAGAACTATTGCGAGAAGAGTGAAAAGGATACCCAGGACACAGAAGTTAAGGTGGCAGTTACTCTTGGGGTGCTGGCAGGGTCAGCCTGTGAGAGTGAGTGCCTCTTTAAATTTGCGTCACAGACGCCTGCTGACCTCACCCCAGTCCAGGCCCTGCGATTGGTCAGGCCATCAAAGCCTCGCCCCTGCTAATCGCTGCTGCCGCCATCTTTGCTGCAGAGAACGCCGAGGAAGACGCTGCAGACCTGCCTTCCCAACCGTATGTAGGCGAGAAGCCAGTGCTGATACTCCCACTAACCCATAATGTCCCACCAGGCCCCAGAGTGGAAGAGGGCTGAGTCTAATTCAAGCGATCTTGGGGCCAGCTGGGATGGCAGAGGCAGCAGAGGCAGGGGCTGGAGCGGCCCCTCCGGCCTTCAGGGACCTAGAGCAGCTGACTCCCGTGAACCGCCATTGTGCTTTAAGATAAGGAGCAGTATGGTTGGTGCGGTAATTGGTCGCAGTGGATCCAAAATAAAAGCTCTAGAACGGTCAACAAACACTTTAATACACATCGTAAAGGGGGCATCTGAAGCAGAAGTAAACGTTTTTGGTAACAAGGAAATGAAAGAAAAGGCCAAAGCAGCCATAGAGACTCTTATTAGAAAACAGGAAAGCTACAACTCAGAATCCAGTGTAACTAATGCTGCATCCCAACCTCCTATTGGAAGAAATGTATGCCGAAATGACAGTGTTAGAGAAGCGCGGCCATCGTTAGATTGGGATCAAATTAGGGCTAGCGGTCTGGAGAGGGAAAAGAGCAAATGGGCAGATTTACCACCAATCAAGAAAAACTTTTACATAGAATCCAAAGCAACAAGCTCCATGTCTGAAATGCAGGTGATTAACTGGAGAAAGGAAAATTACGATGTAACATGTGATGACTTGAAAGTGGGGAAAAGCGTCTCATCCCCAAACCTGCTTGTACGTTTGAAGACGCTTTTCAGCAATACCCTGATCTTTTGAAAAGCATAACAAGGGCAGGATTCAGAAAGCCAACACCAATTCAATCCCAAGCATGGCCAATTATTCTACAAGGAATAGATCTTATAGGAGTTGCACAAACTGGAACAGGGAAAACGTTGTCCTATTTAATGCCTGGGTTTATTCATCTTGATTCTCAACCAATATCTAGAGAGCAAAGGAATGGTCCTGGGATGCTGGTTCTTACACCCACTAGAGAGTTGGCTGTTCAGGTGGAAGCTGAAAGTTCAAAGTACTCATATAAAGGTCTTAAAAGCATCTGCATATATGGTGGTCAAAACAGACAAGAACAAATAGAAGACATTAGCAAAGGTGTAGATATCATTATCGCCACTCCTGGGAGGCTGAATTACCTACAGATGAATAATTCTGTCAACCTAAGAAGCGTAACTTATTTAGTTATGGATGAGGCAGATAAAATGCTGGATATGGGATTTGAACCCGAGATAAGGAAGATTTTAATGGATGTGCGCCCAGACCGGCAGACTGTTATGACAAGTGCAACTTGGCCAGATACTGTTCATCGACTGGCACATTCTTATTTGAAAGATCCTATGATGGTTTATGTTGGTACTCTGAATCTTACGACCACAAATACAGTGAAGCAAAATATAATTGTTACCACAGAAAAAGAAAAACGAGCTTTTATCCAATAATTCATAGAGAACCTGATGCCAAATGATTCAAGTCATCTTGTTTGTCCACCAAAAATACATTGCTGATGACTTATCAAGTGACTTCAATATCCAAGGCGTATCTGCAGAAGCACTGCATGGCAACAGAGAACAGAGTGACCAAGAACGAGCATTAGAGGACTTTAAAAGTGGAAACACAAAGGTACTGATTACAACTGATTTAATAGCCAGAGGCCTTGATATTAATGATGTCACGCATGTATATAATTACGATTTCCCATGGAATATAGAAGAATATCCACAGAGTAGGGCGCACTGGACGGGCAGGAAAGATGGGCACATCAGTTACCCTCATCACTCAGAGAGATTTAAAAATGGCTAGTGAATTGATTAAAATTCTGGAAAGGACAAATCAGAGTGTTCCGGAAGATCTGGTACTAATGGCTGAGCAATACAAGTTAAAACAACAAAAGAGGGACACAGAGAAACGATCAAGAAAAACTGGAGAAAGATGCAAGGAGTTTTACTGATGTTTAAGTTGAAAAGTTGTACCAGGCTACTAGCAGATTCCAGGCATGTTAATGTTATGCAGTATTGAATATACATAAGGAAGTATCGGAAACATACTGGCCATTTGAAGAAACAACTAATTCTTAAATAATTCTGCTGAACTTTCAATGTTGTGTCTGTTCCTTAATAAAAATAAGGCTTCCCAAATGAGAGAATGAGAGAATTTGTGAAGAAAAAGCAAATGTTATATATTGGTTAAAGTTTAATTTCTTTTTAAAATACTTTGATTTTAGGTTTGGGGTATATGTGAAGGTTTAGTTACATAAGTGAACATGTGTCACGGGGGTTTGCTGTACATATTATTACCCAGGTGTTAAGCCCAGTGCCCAATAATTACCTTCTCTGCTCCTCTCCCTCCTTCCACCCTCCCCCATAAAGTAGACACCAGTGTCTGCTGTTTCCTTGTGTTCATAAGTTCTCATCATTTAGTTCCCACTTATAAGTGAGAACATGTGGTATTTGATTTCCTGTTCCTGTGTTATTTTTGCAGTCTGCTATGTCCATTTGTCTTCTCTAAAACACTTGGTAGAAGACAACAATGATGCTTTTCTAGCTTTCAAATAGTACTAAATTGAAGCATAGCTTCATACTTATCCAGTCAAAATATTCTTTTTCCCCCCAGCAGTTGGTGCCACAACAGTTCTTAAAGTTATTTCCACTATCATTCTCCACTTTTTTTAGTTCATTAGAAAATAAATGCTAGATTTTTTTAGAAGATTCCACAATTCTGTTTTTTATCAGAATGATGTCACCAACAGAGCAGGATGTCTGACTCACTGGGAATCAGTCCTTGTATGCATTTTGTCACTAACCCTTGGTTAAAATTCTGAGAAAGTTGCTTCCCTTCTCTAGGCCTCAATTTCTCCACTCATAAAATGAGATAGTTGTATTAATTAATTTAGGGGTCCCTTTCACCTCTAAAATTCTGTGATGACTAAAACTGTATACCCAGCCTTGGGTTAACACTTCCTTGTCTAATCTAGGGGAAATTGCATCCTTGTATAGTAAATTGAACAAAACAGTCCTTTTCAATGACAAGAAAGTGCATTCTGCATTTTTATTGATTTTGCAATGTAACTGGTCGGTTTTCCTTTAATTCTTTGCTTTTATTTTCATCAAGTTTTATTTTAATTCAATTGGTCCTGGGAAGGTCAAAACCATAAATGTTCACATATATCGGTGAAAAAAATTAAGGTGAAAGAAAAATTCATCTGCTGGGAAAAACATTAAAACCAATCAAATGGCATTTTTGCCATAAGAAACAATTTTAGTAAAACTCTTCCTAATTTCCTTTATAATTCTACCTCTTATGCCTTATTTAGAAGCAATGTGCTTCTCACATCTCCAAAAAGACATCCTCACAATGATGCTAAGTAAACTTTAAAATTTAGTGTTCATGAAAACATTAGAATTAGTTATTTCTGGCAAAATCGAGAAAAAATAAGGCAGCAGTATTTTTTCCTCAGCTTGCCTCAGTTGTAACTACAAATAGGCCAGAAAATATGGGAAAGAAAGAAGTAAACGCTCTAGGTATAGGTATTTAACGTTTAAAGTATGGACTTTAAATGCTTTTTGAAATGTAGACCTCAGTATCTCTTGATAAAATCAATAACAATTGTTAACATTTGTGAGTGATACACACCTGGTGCTTTATCTCACAATCTCTAATATTTGTAAGAAACCCACTCAGAAGGTAATCTTACCCCTGTTTTGCAGAGGATGGAGCAAAGTCAGAGGAGCTAACTTGCCTAAGGTTCCTAAATCTGGTTAAAGAGAAATTAAGTTGTATTTTCACCAGGAAGTGCTTGATTCCAATATTTATATATTTTGAAATTTCAGTATAGTAATTATGTGTAAGGCAGTATGCTTGTCTTGAGGTTCTCTACAAGTTCAGATTTAGTGAAATAGAGAAGTGTGTGCAAATTTAATGCAAAGAAATCTATAGCAGAACTATCATAGAAGCTCAAATGGCTTAGGGATGTTCACTCAGAGGAGAAATGATAATTGTTTAACAAGTTAGACTATATGTTATTGTCCAGAATTACTCTTAGGGGCAATGCTATATTTATTTTTAAAATGCAACAATTAAACCACCTGAGATAGTATATTTCCATAATCATGTTTAAGTAACAGTAACAAGAAAAATTATCATTCAATGTCTATGAGTAAGAAAATGAGGGAAATATGCATTTCTTCTACAAGAAAAGGTTGAAAAGAAGAACTAGTATATAGAGAAACATAAGTAGAAATAGAGCAGTGATTGTCAACCAAGGGCAATTTTGTTCTCCAGGAGACCTTTGACAATATCTGTAGACAGTATTGGTTGTTACAACTATGGATGGGCAGTGAGGTGTTACTGGCATCTAGTGGGTAGAGGGTAATCACTCTACAATCTACAGGACAGCCCCATACAACAAAGAATTATCTGGCCCAAAGCAATAGTTCTGAGTTGGGGCATCCCTGAGACAGCCTAAGAAAAACAACCAAAACCAATTGCCTAGTAATCAAAAAGGCACTTCAAAGAAAAAAAAAATAGAGGGTTTCTAAGCTGTATCTTGTGGGTTTCGTGGAAAAAAGTATCCCTACAAGCTTACTGTCTTTGGTATGGTCTACATCACTGGTTCTCTACCAGGACCAATTTTGTCAATGTCTGGAGACAGACAGACTGGGTTGTTGTGTTAGTCCATTTTCATACGGCTATGAAGAATACCCAAGACTGGTAATTTATAAAGAACATGAGGTTTAATGGATTCACAGTTCCACGTGGCTGAGGAGGCCTCGCAATCATGGCGGAGGGTGAAGAAGGAGCAAAGGCAAGTCTTATGTGGTGAGCAGGCAAGAGAGCCTGTATAGGGGAACTCCTCTTTATAAAACCATCAGATCTCGTGAGACTTACTATCACAGGAACAGCACGGGAAAGACCCACCCCCACGATTCAATTGCCATCTACCAGGTCCCTTCCCTGACACATGGGCATTATGGGAACTACAATTCAAGATGAGATTTGAGTGGGGACACAGACAAAACCTTATCAGTTGTCATACCTGGTAGTGATGGTGGTGGCGTTGGTATCTCCTAGGTAGAGTCAGAGAATGCCACTAAATATCACACAATGCATAGGAGGGCTCCCTACAACAAAGAATTATCTGGTCACAATGTCAGTAGTGTCACAGTTGAGAAACCTTGCAATAGTTAAGCAAAAATAAAAGCACAAACCTAGTTGCAGAGAAGCCAAAAGTGGACTTTAAGAAGGAAAACAAAAAGAGGATATTCATTGTGTGCACTTTGCAATATAAAACCCTCCACTGGCCAGGCGTGGTGGTGCACACCTGTAATCCCAGCACTTGGGAGGTCAAGGTGGGTGGTTCACCTGAGGTCAGGTGTTAGAGACCACTCTGACTAACATGGTAAAAACTCATGTCTAATAAATACAAAAATTAGCCAGGTGTGGTGGGTGAATGCCTGTAATCCCAAGTACTCAGGAGGCTGAGGCAGGAGAATTGCTTGGACCTGGGAGGACGAGGTTGCAGTGAGGTGAGATCATGCAACTACACTCCAGCCTGGGCAACAGAGTGAGACTTTGCCTCAGAAAAAAACAAAATAAAAAAAACCTCCATTAACTTTCCTTTCTTTGGTAGAATCTGTATTTCTCAGCTGGAGTTGATTTTGCTCCCAGACATTTGGCAACGTCTGGAGACAATTTTAGTTGTCCTAGCTAGGGGCAGCATTGCTACTGGCATCTAGTGGGTGGAAGTCAGGGATAAACATCTTATAATGCACAGGACAATACCTTACAACAATGGGTTTTTCAGTCCAGAATATATGGTGTTGAGGTCAAGAAACTGGTTGCATTGACTGACCAATAAAGTTTTTGTGTAAGTAAATTGTGTTTCAGAAATTCCAAGAAATACTGAGTTCTACATACAAATTGGAACAGATGGAAAGCAAAGCACTGAATATACGTAGAAGTCAAAGTATGAGGATTCAACTGACTTCAAAGTTATTCATAAGATTCTCAGCACGGTAACTGACATTCAGTAGGCATTCAACAAATATTGAGCCCCTTCCAAGTTTCCCTCTCCCATCGCCCACTGTATAATGATTGTTCACTATTCTGGGTGTTGCTCAGGCTTTCCCTCCATGTGGAATGCCCTTTCTCTTTCCTCTCTGCCAAGACAAATCACATTTACCATTCTGGGTCCAGCCAAAGTGCCACATCTTCTCAAAGTTCCCATCTACTCTCCTTCATTTCAAAACTTCTGCAGTTACAGTTCTTGTTATTTAAGAATAATGTTGACATTTATACTATCCTAGCTTGCATTCCTACAGAGACAACTTTAAAGAAATAAAATGAATTAAGAGAAATTGCACTATCAAGTATTTAAATACATTATCAAAAATACAACAGTTCAAAGAGTTTTATCCCATGTGATGAACAAATCATGAGAGAACTGTTGAGAGCTAAATCTGCATAGCAATCTAGTAGGCAACGAAGGTAGACAGTTTTAAATCAGTGAAGAAAGAGAAACCTACTCCAAACAAAATAAGCAAAATAAATAAATTAAAAATACATAATATATAGCAGGACAATTGATCAACCAAAAACTCCTCCTATTAGAAAGTAATTCCCACTAGATTATTGCTTTTATAAAAAGCAAAAGAATGTCAACTTTACATAGAGAAATGTTTCTGTTATCATGTGGAAAAGAATTTTTAAACATAAAAGCAATCACAAAAAAGGTAAATATGAATATGTTTGACAATCTTCTTAATGTCAAAAATACTATCAAAGGCAAAGGAAACACCAGAAAAATAATTCAAAATATATAATATGGTCATAGCTATTTATATTTTATATGTGGAACTTTTTACAAAGAAAAAAATGAATAAATATGGGCAAAATTTAAAAGGCAAGTTGCTAGACAAGTGAACAACATATATATTAAAAAGTATTTGACTTCTTTAACATCAAAGGAATTAAAATTAAACCTATTATATAACTTTTCTCTAGCAAATTGGGCTAAGATTCTTTTTTTTTTCTTGAGACGGAATCTTGCTCTATTGCCCAGGCTGGAGTATAGTGGCACGATCTTGGCTCACTGCAACCT